GGACCAAGGTAATAGCTAATACCTTAATTTGACCGAAAAAGAAACAGAGGGTCAGAGAGGTGAAGTCAAAATAAAAGTAAATGTCAGAGCTCATATTAGAACACAAGATTCCTCAAAGGCCAGGTAAAACAAAATCCAGCGAAGCCTCCTTTCTACATAACCAGTGGGATACAAAATGGGGCTCCAATGCTGTAGGACTAGAGTCCCTTAAGTGCTTTGAAGACAACTGTCCCAATTCACACTGTTTCATTTTGAGGTTAATAATTCAATCTGTGCCCAAACCCAGGCTAAGCAGAGAAAGGAACCAAAAAACAAAGACAAACCAAAAAACCCACAGCTGCATCTGCGTGGAGAGACATGAAGATTTATTTGGAGAGAATAACCACTGAGCACATAAATCACGGTATGATGCAGTAAGACGAACAGCAAGATAGGAGGTTTAAGTAACAAATGCTACAGCCATTCAGAGGGCGAGATGATCAGAGTGAGGTGGAGAGAACGAAGGGCATGCCTTCCTTCCCAGCAGTGTTTCCACATTTATCTCTCTACAAAGCAATTCCTGTCTTCGACTTGTCTACGAGAATTCTGGGAAGACAGAGCCAGTAGGAAGATGCAGCCTTTAGGAGAGCTCCCAGCATCACAATCGCAAATGAAGGGGACGCCAATTACTGCCCCAGCTCTACACTGTGGAAAACAAGTTCTTCCAGCCTCGTCACCTGGGTAGTGAGCACAGTGATAATCCTTGAATTATGTAACTTTTAAGGAAAATGAAACAAGAGTCACTGTTATTTCCCAACAGCAAAGGCTTAAAAGGCCTAACTTACTCTTGGTTTTTGTTCCTAATTCCCTTTTAAGACTGGTACAATAAAAAAGTTCCACAAAATAGTTTTAAAAGATATAAAACACATATTTTCCAATTTTTAAAAAATTGTTGACTAGATTTTTCAATATCTCAACTAAAAAAGTCTCTCCTGCCTAGGTTCCTGTGGATATTTCCACTGTCATGTTGAATTGAGATTGCATTGTTACTTCTACTTCAGCATTTTTTAGAGAAAAGATATACAGATTTCACTGAACATTTATCTAAAGTGATCAATGACTGAAATGATTTGCAATAAAAATAAGCAAAAAAGGGGGGAGAGATCCTTTTAAAAGCACCCAAAGAGTAAATAAAAGGCAGCGGAGGGATTGATTTCTCCCACAGATATTAATCTGATGCTGCGACTTCAGTTATCAGAAATAGAAGGTGCTTTCTGTCTCAATTGATACCCCTGGAAACACAGGTCCACACTGGTCCCGAGAGGTAAGCAGCCTTGTCCAAGTATCACAGCAAGTGAGTAAGTGGCAGAAGGTGGACAGAACCAGGTCTCTTGAGTCCAGGGCCTTTGCTCTACTCAGGACCTCATGCTGTTGCTTAGGTCTGGGCATATTTGGTTTCCTATAGCTCTTCAATTCAAACTTGAAACTTGCCTGTGAAAGGGAACTCAAAGGTGCATGTCCAGAGATATTCTGGTCTCTAAAAAGCCCCAGACAAGTGGGCCCTGGAGAGCTGTATTCAGGGAGCTAGTTGGGGTTCCTGTGAAAGCATGAGTAACTGCTTTGTGGTATCTAAACTGAAGGGTGAAATGCCTTAAATTGAAGGCATTATGTTCATGGTGAAGGGCTGTGTATCTGAATCAGCATAGCATCAGGGACATAAAATATACTGGATCCAAAACAAAAACTTACAAACAAAACACTGGGATTAGAATTATAATTTCTATGCCAAGATGATGCAACAACCCTAACTGCACACATGCATAACTTTGGAAAATCCAAACCAGAAACGTCTAAGATTTAAGTCAACAAAGCAAATCAACAGAGATTTAAGTTTATACTCCCCAACGTGGAATAGGGAACAAAAATACTAATAATACTTACAAACATTATTAGAGAGGAAGGAAATGGCAAGCAAGTATCCATAAATCAAAAGGAAGTAGAAAGTTGTCTTTGGGGCCTTTAATCTTCCCATTGTGCAATCACTTTAGCATAGCAACCTTTGTGCTTACTCCCACTAGCTGAAAAATTTCTTTAGCTAAACTTAGAGTGTCCAAGAGCCTGATTAGAGCTCTTCCAAGTACATAAATTAACATCAACAATGCTACAAAAATAAAACACCGCCCATCCGCTTGTGCATACATCCATCTTTTCAGCTATTGTCCCAAGTCAAAACAGCCCAGTCTTTACCAGAACTAGACACACAAAGACTGCCTAGAATGACAGGTTTTATGATCAATTTTTCACTTTCTTCATGAATAATTTTCTCAAAAGCAACTTAAATCCAATGTATACAACATTATCAAATTCACTATTCTAAAAAAAATCTGTTTATAGTTCATAGCTCCAGTGGGACTGTGAACATGTTAAGGTAGCACAGGGTTGTCCCTGTAGTAAGTTGATGAAATCTAAAACTGGGTTTTCCAACTAAATTTCAGATATTTCCACCAAACCACAGAAGATGGTCAAGAAAGAAAAGCCAGCCTTCCTCTATACCTGGCCATAGATTAACCCCATTATCCCAGGCAAAGATCCCACAGATCAGTGAGCCTAGAGAATGGTGGCATCCAATCAAGCCACCCTCACTACTGGAAAAGCAAAGAGCAGCAGATCCCAGTGCTGGTGGAGACATGACTTCTACATCCTGAAAACAGCCTGTACTCAGATCTACTAACTCTGGATATAGGCTCCTTATTGCTCCAAGCAATGGGCCTACTCAGTGTAGCTAAAGCTCTTGGCTACACAAATGGAAACTGGCTATCATGGTATACTAAAAAGCGTACACCCAACATTCTCAACAAGTCCTGCACTCTTGGTTTTGTAGTTCAGCTCTACAACTGACTTGCTTTGTGAACTCGTTTCTCACCAGAAAAAACAGGGGTGATAACCTCTTCTCAGAGTCACTGTAAGCAAAATGTCCAGTTCAGTGCCTGGCAAATAGTCAAGGTTCAACAAAGGTTGGTGTACTTCCTACTGACCTCTCTGTTCTGAGTATTTTCTTGCTTGTTTTCTGCATTTTGGGTCAAAATCTACTTATAAAACCCCTGAATACCCTAACCAAGTACTAAGTATGGCCCTTTTACCATATAGTTTATTAAAATCATCTTTGTGTGTATGTTTTGGGGTGGAGGTTCTGATAATGTTTAGGTTTAATATTCCATATTTAATCTTGCTGCTCAAAGTGTGATCTAGACACCAGAAGCATCAGCACTACCTGGAAGTTTGTTTGAAAGGCAGACTCTCAGGCCCCACCCCAAACCTACTGAACCAGAATTTACAGATTCCCAAGTCATATGTTTACATCTGTAAGTTTGAGACACACTATCCTATAATACACATGGATATTCACACTCTAAGGAATCAATTGTGGCAACTTGTGCTGGTGGTGGTTCTCTATGAATCTTTACTCAGGTAGACAGCAACTACTGACCAAGGCATTTTCACCAGAAGGATGGGATAATGATATGCTTCTTACCATGTGCCTTTTGAGTTTAAAAAACAATGCATTAAGTACATTGGCTTGAAGGCAATATTTAAATCTTCTGTATTAATGCAATCTTTGTTATAATGTAATAAGTGTTTTGAATATAATTAGTTATTCGAGCATTCTTACTATATTATAAACTAACAAATAACAGTTAGGAATGATTCTATCAATGTAGAAATTTCAGGTTTCTAGGATGCAACACACAACAGATTGATTAGTAAGAAGCTGCCACAAACTGAATGTTCTCAACACAGTTTGATCAAGTTCTAAAGCCTACACTGGAATGTGTCTTTCCCCCAACCTATCAACTTTCTGAAACATTTTTTAGTTCTTTCCAGTTACATGTGAAAGTACAATTTTTAAATGCTCCTGAAAGTAAAATTGCAGCCCAAATTCCTAAAATGAATCACCAGATGCTGGATAGGGAGGCTGGTAACTTTGTGTCTCAGGAAACAAAACCCAATCTGAGTGAGTCATCTCTGTGATCACAGATAACACAGCCACAGCCAGAGACGAGCGAAAAACAAATGGCGCAGCGACCACATGTCAGAGTCTCATGTTTAATGGTTTCTCACATTAAAACGCATCAGTCAGCTCTGTGAAACCAGGAAGTGAAACCCAGGACACCACATAAATAACAAAAACACTCTCATAAGTTTGGTATATTTTATCCTTTTGCTCTAAGTCCATTTCGGTTTTTGGAAGATAACATAAAAATGAAGGTGATGTTTTGTTAAGAGGTAAGCAGAAAGGTATAAGCTAATTATTATGACAGGTTCTGAAATATTTCATAAGAAAATTTCAATACTTTTTGGAGGCCTAGTTACTCTGATCCAAAATGAAAAAGGTGATCAGAAGTTGGCAGATGCCACAAAAGATGTAACAGAGGAAGTGGTAACAGGCTCTAGAAGCAGAAACACCTGTTATCATGTGACTCCATGCACAACCTGTATGCATGGCTTTCTTTCTTTCTCAGGTACTCTAAGCTTGAAAGAGAAGACGACTGGGTGGTGAACTCATGCTATACAGCATTGCCATCTAGATGCTACTCCTTGCACCCACTAGGAAACAACCCCATAGTGAAGAACCAGAAGTCCTCCTGAAGCCCTGGACAGGGAGGGGATAAATGCCAGGACCAAGCCTGGCCCATGTTGGCCAGGCTCAACACAGGGGTAATGCAACAGTCAGGCTACGTTTTTCAAAAGGGGGCATCTATCAACACCACACATCCATTAGCAGGCAGGACTCCAAGGAAACATTATTTAAACAGTAGGTGTGAGTGCCTACACCCAACATAAGCATTGTCTTCTGAAATACTGGAGACCAGCTGGGGGCAATGGCAATACCCCTATTCCCTTCCTTCACCAGACCCCTCACAAAGTTAAAAAAATATGTAATTTCTGAAATAAGAACAAGATAAAATGCCCCCATAAAGCCCCCACGGCCGCCCCCATTGTTTCCAGAGAGCATACACTACCTCATAATGAAGGGAATAAATGGAGCCATGCTGAGAGCAGAATAGGTGCCGTCCATCGGGGAAGGGTAGAGTCTCCCCAACACCAACAGTAAGAGAAACATACTTGGATGATGGTTTAGTTCTCCTGTATCACTGAAAAAAAATCATTGTACATAAAAGATTTAAAATTTGAGAGGTGAGGCACTATCTTCCACCATTTTTCTCATTAACTAATTATGTATATAGAGTGAGACTCTCTCTGATTAAGGGATAGCATTCCTTTTTTCACTTTTTTCTCCATTCATGCCATATATCCTACTGTGTAAATGAGGAGGAACTGCGTAAGCCATGGACTAGGCTTTTGCACACGACTCTCTTCTCGGAGCGAATCATTTAATAATTTGCGTCTGCTGTTTTTATTCGAGCTGTTCACACAGGACAGGTGCCTGTTCCAGAAAATGAAATGTGAAACATTCACCACCCAAATGTACTTAAGAAAGTATGAAGAGTCACTTACTAGGGCCAGAAAAGCCTGTCTGCACAAGTTACTAATGAGGAAATGCATCCTAAACAGAAGTAAAATTCACTGATGTTATTTTATTTTCCCATTAAGGCAACTAGTATAAATTCATACCAAGTGCTAGAAGACTAAAAAAGATGCCCATACTAAAAACTCCACCGCCAGCTACAGAATGTGATTGGCAGGACAATGGTGAACTTCTCGATCTCCCCTGGTGAGCCTGGAAACCCTCTTTCTGGCTTTGTGTTTCCAGGGTCACTGGCCATCTCCGCTCAGGTAGACCAGAATCACTTCTGACCCCAGGTGACCAGATTAGGCAGCTAACTGCGGTAGTTTCACAATAGTGAGCTGTAGCAGGCCAGAGATAAAAAAAGACAGGTGTGCATGGACGTAAACTCAATATATAAACACACACGTTTTTAAATATAATAGAAAGAAAATGATTCTTAACAGAAGAAATCACCATGTGCTTCTAAGAAGCTAGTTCCTGCATAACACTGAAGAGAGGATTAAATTTGAAAAAATTTAATATAAAACAGGATTTAAAAAGCATAATGTAAAACAGGATTTTATACAACTCTTCATGTATAAATCTACTAGAGACTCGGGTAACACGGTGCAATAAAAAAGCACTTTAAAAAAAATCCACCTGTGGCCCGGCCGGGCGTGGCTCAGCAGTTGAGTATCAACCTAGGATCCAGGCGATCGGGGTTCAATTCCCGGTCAGGGCACATGCCCCGGCTGTGGGCTCGATCCCCAGTCGGAGGACTGTAGGAGGCAGCAGGTCAATGACTCTCTCATCATTGATGTTTCTCTCTCTCTCTCCAAAAAATAAAAAATTTTTAAAAATCCATCTTCCTTACAAGGAAAGAGTTGATTAAAAACTATTGCCTAGAGGGAAAATCTCCCTTGATCCCATCCTTGATTTCACTGTGTCCCACCCATCCTCTCCTCACCTGTCCACAGTGCTGGATACAGCCTCTAACTGCTTGAGAAGGAAAGGATAGAGTCCCGGGAAACGAGAGAAGAATTCGCTCCCTGTCATTCTGTGGAGAGGGCAAAGAGAAAGAAATTACTATCATTTACTTCCTCTAATTTGATAATAAAGCCTCTTTATTTTTCAAAAAGAGAGATAACTGAGGTCATTTATTTAGATATTTATGTATATTTAATTTGTTGGGGTTACAATGGTTAATTAGGTTTCAAGGGTACAATTCTATAATGCATCACCTGTATAATGTATTGTGTGTGCACCATCATAGTCTAGTCTCCCTTCATCACCATGTATCCCCCCTTCACCTTCTTCTACTCCCCTTTACCCCCACCCCCTTTCCTCTGGTAATCACTATACTATACTTAGATATTTAATGAAATAATGTTAAGAACAAAAACTACATCTTAAGAATTTAATAATCAGTAGAAACAATACATTTAATTTTGATTTGGGAAGTGCTCTTAATATGTAAAACCTTATCTCAAAATTTAAGATTATGTATATTTACAAATATTTGATATTAAATTCTGTCAGGGAAAAAATACATAATTTGTAAAAACACCAAGTTTCCAAGAATTAATTTGGACCGTGAATGCAGTCAATACCTGGCTGACTGAGACTGACTCAGCTTCATTAACAAGGGAGGGTCTAGAACAAGGTTTCTCAAAGCTGGAACCAATGACCTTTGTTGTAGGGGGCTGTCCTGGGCACTGCAGGATGTTGAGCGGCCTTCCCAACTTCTACATCCATTAGATGCCACTAGCACAACATTGCACCCCAGTCAAGACAATAAAAATTTTTTGTCTCTGGCCATTGCCAGATGTACCCTGCGAGAAAAAAAGGCCCCAGCTGAGACCCACTGGTCTGGAGCATGGTTATCAGACATATGAGCTTGGTGTGTGAGGTTCTGGGGGTCCAATCCCAGCTAACGTCTGTGAGGATTACCTTTTTCATCTTCATAAACGCTACTCTTAAACTCTGACAAGCTCCTGAAAATAGTTCCTCAGACTGCACAACTGACCAGAAAAGCTCAAACCAAATTCAGCATTTAGTTAAATAGTCTCTGTAACTATTAAAGAACTACTTGATGGGGTGACATAAATATTTCCCAACTTGCCCCCCATCAACTCTAGATGTATGCTCCCATTAATGGAGACCCCAAATTATCACATTTTTAAAAATTGCAGTATATTTTACACACAGCGAAATGCTCAAATCTTAAGTGCATCATGCAAACGGTTTTCATACACTTGTGTAATTCACACCTCTATGAAGACTTAGAAACTTTCCTTTATCTCAGCAAGTGCCCTTGTGCCCCTTCCCAGTCAGCTCCCAATCCTCAAAGCAATCATGATTTGATTTCTCTCACCACAGTGTTTTTTGTTTCTATTCTAGAATTTCATATAAATGTAATAGTGCATTATATAACTTTTTGTGTCTGGCTTTTTTTCACTTGGCATAAGGTTTGTAAGATTCATCCGTGTTATTCAATGTATGAAGAGCTTGATTCTGTGTTTGCTGAGTAGTAATCTGTTGTATGAACATACAAGTTTGTTTATCCCATTCTCCTCTTGACAGACATGGACTGTTTCCACTTCTGGGTTGTCATGAAAAAGCTGCTATAGGTTTTTTTGTGGACATATGTTTTCATTTCTCTTAGATAAATATCTGAGAATAAAACTGCAGTGTGTTTAATATTTTAGGAAACTGACAGTTTTATACTCCCAACCACAAAAAGAGTTCTAGCGGCTCTACATTTTTTCGAACATATTGTCTTTCTTTTTTTCCAGTTTAGCCATCCTAGTGGGTATGCAGTGGCATCTCCCTGTGCTTTTCATTTTCATTTCCTTGATGATTAATGATATTAAACACATTTCATGTGCTTCAGTCACCGGTGTTGCTTTTGCGAAGTATCTATTCAAGATATTTGCCCACTTTTAAATTACGTTGCTTGTTTCTTTTGTCATACATGCATTGAGTGTACTTTCTCCCGGTCTGTGGTTTGCCGATTTAGTTTCTTTCTTTTTATTTTTTTATTGATCCCTCCACCCCGCATCCAACCCACCCCCAGGCTTTCCCCATACCAATGTCTGTGTCCATGGGTTATGCTTATAAACATATAAGCTCTTTGATTAATCTCTCCCACCCACTCCCGCATCCCCCCCTTCCCTCTGAGATCCCTCAGTCTGTTCCATGCTTCCATGTCTCTGGATCCATTTTGTTCATCAGTTTATTTTGTTTATTATATTCCACATATAAGTGAAATCATGTGGCATTTGTCTTTCTCTGACTGGCTTATTTCACTTAGCACGATTTAGTTTCTTAATCCATTTGGATGAACATAAGTTTTTAAATTTTGATTAAGTCCAATAATTGGATCAATTTATTTCTTTTATGATTCATGCTTTCTATGGCCAAAGAAACCTTTGCCTATTTGAATATAACAAAGATATTCTACTTTCATCTACAAGTTTAATTGTTTTAGCTTTTATGTTGGTAGAGGTCAAGGTTCTTTTTTTCTACATTAGTGTATCATATTTTTAACAGGAAGATGCCATAAGAAAAGACATCAGCCTTAAATAGGGGGGATTATATTATAAAGATGACATTCTTCCCAAATTCAATGCAATTCCAATAAAAATAGTAATATTGTGTATGTGGGGGTGTGTAACCAGATTCTAAAATATATATAGATGTACAAAGGGCCAAGCAATAGGAGCAAAGATAATCTTGAACAACAAAGCTGCAGGATTCATACAATCAGGTAGCTAGAAATATTATAAAACTTTAGTAATTAGAACACTATGGTGACAAATAGGCCAATGAAATAAAACAGAAAGCACAGCCACATGCATACATACACAGATATATGAAAACTTGATTTATGAAAGAGCTGGTATGCAGATGCTAGTATATGAAAATCATACATGCTATGATGACTAATCATCCACACAGACAAAATTAAAATTGGATCCCAATCTCCAACTATATATGAAATTAAATTCCAGTGAATTCAAGACTTAGAAGGAAAAATTAAAACTGCTAAACTCTTTAAAAGACAATAGAGAATAGAATTTATTGAACAAGACCCAAAAAGCATCAACTAGTAGGTGCACACACACGACAACACTCAAGCAACTGAGCCACACTGGCCGGGGCTGAACATTTCAACAAATTGTTTTGCACTTAGTAGCCTGATGGGTTTTGACTACATCTTTTAAAAAATATTTGGTTAAAGTTATTGTGTCCATGCTTGATAGGGTAGGACTTTGAAGCGTCCAATGTGCACCTGTGAGGGTTTAAGTAAAACCAAAATCATTTTCTGAGGAGCATTTTGACCTTGTTCAGGCACGCTAAACACACAGGAGGCGCCTTTCTAGTCTAGCATTCTTAGGCTCCACAATACTGTTAACAAATGTTGACCCAATTTCTGCTTCAGCTCACCTAAAAGGCTAAGGCTGAAACTTACTGCAAACACACAGGAGTTTGAGCTCCATGTGCTTACCAGGTAGCGACATCTCAACTCTGCATCAGTCAAGGGCTACTAAAGATCTGGCTTAATATTTATGGAGTGTTGCCAGAGGGATATGCAATATTGACAATTCTTGTGTATTATGAAACAGCTTCAGGAGGCAAGGCATAGGAGGATGTTAGAATTACCTAAGGGGATTATTCAAACTTCACTCACACTTGATTCTCAACTACCCTAAAAGGTGTACGGCATGTTAAATCCAGAACTTAGCTTGCTAATATATTAACAGCAGCCCACAACTAACAAATGACTACATTTTATGGTTAAACTGAGTGAAAAATCACCACTTACAATAGTGCCTCTATATGGGGCAGTTCATAGGCTTGAGGCTGCGCATACAGGTCCGTAATCTAGCCTTATGTTAAAAGGCCAAGGTCATGGAACCATTTTAGTCCATACTTGAATCTCCCTCCTCTGAATCCTGGAACTTGTGAGTTTTACCTCTCACTTGCTACTTAAACAAAACTGCAGTGGAATCATATTTCTCTCAAGAAAGTAGCAAATATATTTTTTAAATACCTATATATTCATGTTGAGTACTGTGTTAGATCCTATGGGAGATACTAACAATATGAGATAGTCACTGCTCTTAGAGCTTAAAATCTAGTTAGGAAGACAAGCCATACACATTAAACATAGCTAATAACGTAAGGCAAACCAGTGCAAGGGTCAAATGAACAATGCTTACGATAAGAGTACAGAGTTGGAAAAAATATCATTGGGGGCTGAAGAGGTTAGGGAGAGATTTGTGGGAAACATGGAAACCAAGATGAGTCTGGAAAAACTGGAAGAGTGGATTAAAAAGGAGAGAGGACAGCATGGGCAGGTACAGGAACCAAGTGGGCAGATAAACTGGCCGGATGAAAAGAGGACTGACTTCATGACAAGAGAAGGTAGAACAGGTGGATGGCATACAATTTTTTTAGAAATCTGAATCTCAGAGTAAGCATATTCACCTGTCTTACAGGCACTGAACGTTTCTGAACAGAAGAGAGATGTGAGAAGAGCAGAGAGACTAGACTAGAGAGTAGAAACACGGTGACCCAATGGACATTCACTAAATGTGCACATTTTAACCTCAACTAGAGCATAAATATCATAGGTAAGGGACTGCATCTACACTTCCTTGCATCTCTCTTGATACACAGCACAATACTATGTAAATGTCCACTGACTGGTAAGTATTTTGGCGATGAATAAATAAATACTACTAGCCAGAGAAGAAAAAAATTCTAATATGGTTAATCTCAAACCTATGCCTTATGCCTTTCAGTGATTGGTACCCAACCAACTGACACCTAACTACCCATCCAACTTTCTGAGCCTGAAACTCCCCATGCATATAGTCAACAGGCAAATCTTGCTGTTTCTACCTCTGGAGTAGCTGTTGAATTCACTGTTCTCCATCCCGACTGCTGCCGCCCCAAGTCTAACTGCTTATCTTTTGCCTTGAAACTATGTCAGCCTCTCACCCAATCTCTTTGCTTACATCTTCCCTCTTCTTAACTCTCTGCTGTGAC